AGAGCCCAGTGCCAGTTTCTGTTTTTTTCCTTGTTTTTGAGTTTTACAGAAAAGGAATACCAAACGGAGTCCAATTGATGTGCCAATTTTTGATGATCTTTTATGGACCAAAAGAAGCCCCCACAGTAAAAGAGTTGGGCCAGAAGAGTCCCGGGCTGCCCACGAGGGTGGGGGGCGCGCCCACCCCCTGGGCGCGCCCCCCTATCTCATGGATGGCTCGGAGACTCCCCTGACGTGAAACCGACGCCAAAAATTCCTATAAATACAGAAACCCCCAGAAAGAAACCTAGATCGGGAGTTTCGCCGCCGCAAGCCTCTGTAGCCACCAAAAACCAATCGGGCCTTATTCCAGCACCCTGCCGGAGGGGGGATCCATCACTGGTGGCCATCTTCATCATCCCCGGTGCTCTCCATGACGAGGAGGGAGTAGTTCACCCTCGGGGCTGAGGGTATGTACCAATAGCTATGTGTTTGATCTCTCTCTCTCTCTCTCTCTCTCGTGTTCTTGATTTGGCACGATCTTGATGCACCGCGAGCTTTGCTATTATAGTTGGATCTTATGATGTTTCTCCCCCTCTACTCTCTTGTAATAGATTGAGTTTTCCCTTTGAAGTTATCTTATCAGATTGAGTCTTTAAGGATTTGAGAACACTTGATGTATGTCTTGCATGTGCTTATCTGTGGTGACAATGGGATATTCACGTGATCTACTTGATGTATGTTTTGGTGATCAACTTGCGGGTTCTGTGACCTTGTGAACTTATGCATAGGGGTTGGCACACGTTTTCGTCTTGACTCTCCGGTAGAAACTTCCGGGCACTCATTGAAGTACTTTGTGTTGGTTTGAATAGATGAATCTGAGATTGTGTGATGCATATCGTATAATCATACCCGCGGATACTTGAGGTGACATTGGAGTATCTAGGTGACATTAGGGTTTTGGTTGATTTGTGTCTTAAGGTGTTATTCTAGTACGAACTCTAGGATAGATCGAACGGAAAGAATAGCTTCGTGTTATTTTATTACAGACTCTTGAATAGATCGATCAGAAAGAATAACTTTGAGGTGGTTTCGTACCCTACAATAATCTCTTCATTTGCTCTCCGCTATTAGTGATTTGGAGTGACTCTTTGTTGCACGTTGAGGGATTGCTATATGATCTAATTATGTTATCGTTGTTGAGAGAACTTGCACTAGTGAAAGTATGAACTCTAGGCCTTGTTTCCTAGCATTGCAATACCGTCTGTGCTCACTTTTATCATTAGTTACCTTGCTGTTTTTATAATTTCAGATTACAAAAACCTATATCTACCATCCATATTGCACTTGTATCACCATCTCTTCGCCGAACTAGTGCACCTATACAATTTACCATTGTATTGAGTGTGTTGGGGACACAAGAGACTCTTTGTTATTTGGTTGCAGGGTTGTTTGAGAGAGACCATCTTCATCCTACGCCTCCTACGGATTGATAAACCTTAGGTCATCCACTTGAGGGAAATTTGCTACTGTCCTACAAACCTCTGCACTTGGAGGCCCAACAACGTCTACAAGAAGAAGGTCACGTAGTAGACATCAGTAAGTAATGTTTCTGCGTGATTTTTTCCAGTTAACTAGACAATTCTCCTTTTCTTAGTTAATAAAGGAAGTCATGTGGACTTTCGATGAGTGAGTGAGGCCATTTTGTTGTTTTGTTGATGACAATGGTGGTTCCGTTGTTCCATAGTTTTGTGGAGGTACGACCATGATCATGTGTAAACTATTTATCTTTCATGTCAAATCAAACACTAATACAAAATTGTTTTTTATGAGATGTTTTATTGATGCCCAATAGCATGTGCTTTGCTTTTTCATTAGAGAAGGGGACTCGAGTTACATGTATATTGATCATATATGGAGAAGATAACTCAGAGACACATGCCTATTCACTAGCTAGAACTCCAAAGACTCTAGCCTGCAAATGATGCAGGTCCTACCATTTTTTGGATCAGCAACCACATGTTCGCTCTGACTTTGCGATCATCCATAATCTTCCGCATCATGTTTAGGAGAGGCTCAAGCAATATCCCTAAAACCTAGAAGTCATATCTCGAAGCTACTGAGTAGCAACCATCTCTTGTGATCTTCCAGAGGATCCTACGGGCTCGGTGGATAATAGCATCTTCTACACCTTTTCCCATAGAAAGATGAATCCATCCATAAGCACCATGGGATTTTATGAAGACCACGCATCCATCTATTCTTAACTAGGGCCTCCTTAACTGACATGTTTGTTTCTGCTAGTCAGAGCATATACTAAGGGCGAGGTCTTTCAACGCGTGACCGTGAAGCTATTGGCCAACCCATATTTTGTCCCGACCATCATTGACGAGCTCAATATCGATACATACAGAGAAAACTCCATCTAATCACATGGTAGAGCAGTGGCAAATAATGGGTGCAGATCACCCCATAGTCCAAACAAGGCTAGCGACACACAAGGCTTTGTTGTAGCATGAGACGTGTTTAATACTAATCCCTACTAGCTTCTTTTGCTTGCAAATCCTTTTCCAGTTGACTAGGAATTTTCCACGACGAGCGTCCTTAGCATTATAGAGAAAGTCTCTCCTAATTTTATCCATCTCCCCTACAACCCATTTGTTAGTGATGACGCTTGTGAAAAAATGTGTTGTAGTAGAGGTTAGTGTTGAATTATTCAAAATAGGCTCCTAGAATTGTATAAGAGCTTCCATTTCCACCCTTTTAGCTTTCTTGCCATCTCATTAATAATAGGTTGCATTTCAATTCGTCTCGTCCACCACGTCAGACTGACAACTAGGTCCCACCCGAAATCGCCCGAAACCTGGTGGTTCGACGGACGTCTCCTTCGGCAGGGGGTGTGAACGCCGCGTGCCGCCGCTTCGCTCGACGCTTGATGCCAATCAGGCTATTTAGGTCAGAAGACATCCCCCCCCCCCCAAGCCACATCCACCTCCCCCCTCTGCGTCGCCAGCCCGAGTCCATCCACCTCTCTCCCGCTCCGTCGCTCTTCCCACGCCCTTCGGTTTCGTCATGGTTCGACAAAAGATAACCACGTATGTTATGCTAATGCCGGAGCGCCGGTTTCAGATTGAGCAGGCGGAGCGCCCGAAAGTGTACGTGACAATTTGAAGGATCGAATTTGATGTGCGCCGCTATAGATGCTTTTACAACGGTACACCTCCTTAAGGGCTGGAGAAGAAGGAGCGTGTACGGTGTACCACAGACGGCGGCCCCACCTACCAGCCGCCGCCGCTCCACTCCCGGTCACCTTCCTCGAGAACACCACCAAGTCCAACCCCAAGTGCAAGAAGCTCTCCTCCCCCTCCCCAAGGATCCCGAAAGACTGCCCGAGCCCCCCTCCAATGCTCCACGGTCCACGGACATGGCCTTCCTCAGAACCCTAAACCCTCTCCTCCGTAGGAACCCCGCCCACCTGAATCCGAAGCCTCTCCTCTCCCACTACGCCCTCTCCGCCCCCTTCCGCGCCGCCGTCCCTCCCGCCCCCTCCCCCTTCGCCGCCGCGGCCGCGGCCGCGCACCCCCGCGTCCTCGCCCGCCCCCGCAGCGGACCGCTGCTTCCCTCCTCTTCCCCATGGGCTCTCTCGCGGTCCGCCACGCCGTTCACAACCGCCGCCGCTTTCCGCTCGAAGCTCCACAGGGCTCGCGCCATTGCCGGCGGAGGTGCGCAGGTTCTCGCGGACGCGGTGCGGTGGGAGCCCAAGCGGGTCTACGGAGGCGAGGCTGCGGGTGCGGGTGGAGGCGAGAAGTTTCTGAATCTGCCCAATTTGGTGTCGATCGGGCGCATGGCGTCGGGGCCGCTCATTGGATGGTGAGTTCTTTACCTTCAGGTGTCACTATGCTGTCGAACCGGATGCATTAACATAGGTGCTTAAGTTTGATGGTTGGATTTCTCGATCAGAATGCCACTGCTCTGATGTTTACTTGATACTGCATTCAGTACTCACCGTGTTAATACATAGTTCAGATTTGCTAATCAGGCATGTTAATTGAATCGAATAGGAAGTGTGTGCAGGCTTGATGCCATAAATCACCATGCTCTGTTATTTTTCATAGGTGACTGCGCTTGTGCACGGGTACCTCATGAAAAAAATCAGTCTCATGCATACTTGTTGGATTAGCACTCATTTCTGTGCAAACCAGCTATTTAAAATTATGTTGCTGCACATCTGACGATGTAGGTCTGAATGTGGTAGCCTAAAAGGAATCAAATATCTGATGCTATGTATTGTTGAGGCCTTATGTATGTCTTAGAATCAATTGTATTTCAAGTTTTACATAGGCATAGCTGATTTGCTTTTGTATGCCATATCTTACGGAACCGAGAACTCGAAATATTTACATTTCAGGAGAGCGAGAGGCTGCCAGGCTACAAATTGAGTCATGATATTATATACGACGTGTGAACTTGTTAGTTGTCACCAAGGTTGCGGGGCCTGTAGTCAAAACATGTTAACCAATCATTGAACCTTTCGTCATGTTCTCTTTGGTCATGTAAATACATGTTTGACCAGTCAGCTTTGAACCATGTTAGACAAAAGACACTGAAATGTTTTGTTCTTGTATCTATGTGACATGATATAACATAAAGGGCTGAGTAAACCTATTGTTTGTTCTTCACATTAGAATCAGATGCACTGCTTAACCAGCAATGATTGTCAGTGTCAAATCTGAAGAAGTTGCCAGGCCGTAGGCGTATTGTTCTATACTTCAACAGTGCACTATCCTCCTGTTAGTTTTTGTGTTGTTTTGCTTCATTACAGGAGGTCTAAAATTGGGGTTAATGTCTAATTAGCTTTTTTGGATGTTCTAACAGTGATTTCGAATTATTCGGTCTCTAGGTATCAGAGCATGCAATTGCTGTCAAATAAAGGATGCCCATGTTTGTACTTTGTATATGTTGATTAATTTTCGGTTTTGGATATGTTGTCTTGCCACATAATATTTTAGACATATAGGGCCATGATTATATATATCTTTCTTATCCATGGTTCTGGTTCTGATTATTTACATATGCTATGTAGGATGATTATGAATGAATGGTATCTTCCTGCTTTTGGCACATTAGCTTTGTCTGGTGCAAGTGATTGGGTAGGATTACACCCTTCTAATATTTCGACCATACTAACACCATATGTTAAAAACCTCACTCATCATTTCTCTCTGACAATAGTTGGATGGTTTTTTAGCAAGAAAGATGGGCATCAATTCTGTAATTGGTTCATATCTGGACCCATTGGCTGACAAGGTTCAAACTTCAAATCCATATTTATAAACTTTATGTTTCTTTATAAAATTATATCTGTGCTGTTAAGCTGACCTGCGGTATTTTTGTGTTGCTTAGGTGTTGATTTGCTGTGTTGCTGTAGCAATGGTTGAGAAGGAGCTCTTACATCGTGAGTAGCTCAGCACATATTCTCTTCATTTTTCTATCTTTGCTACACAGCTTGCTTGCATCCCCGTGTATAATGTCAATCCCAACCAGAGACATTGTGCGATACTCTGAATGTCTAAAACCATTCACCAGCTTCATCTAAGTAAAAATACAGTGATGATGATTGCTGATAGATCATTATGTTGTCCTGCTATTCTTGCCCTTAACTGAATAATTTGACGAATCAATCAATGATGTTGCACTTTGATTGCTCTGCTTGAAGCTGGCCTTGTTGGCCTGGTGGTTGCAAGAGACTTTCTCCTGGTGGGTGGGGCTTTCTACAAACGAGCATCCAGCCTAGGATGGAAGGTACTACTTGCACAAAATTAGGTATATATTTGATTTGAAGTGTTTAAATGAATTCTACCCTGATTATCCTCGCGCCAGTGGAACAGTTGGTCAGACTTTTGTAACTTAGATGCAATTCAGCGTGAGAAGGTTCAACCTCTTTTCATCAGCAAGGTATGTCACTATGTTCTCACATTATTTGATCCTGTGGACCTTTGACACATATGACAATAATTTTTTAATGCAGGTAAATACAGTATTTCAGTTGATGTTGGTTGCTGGTGCACTCCTTCAGCCAGAATTCGGCACAGAGGAGACTCAGAATTATATTACATACTTGGGGTAATCTGTTTTTCAAACTTTTGTCTGCCCTGGTATTTGTAGTTTGGTAAAATGTTTTTTTTCAATGAAATTATACTTTTATGTTGCACCAGTCAAACCACTATTTATATCAGTCATAACTCATAACCCAGAAGCATCTCCTATGTGAATTTGATAATTTCAGGAAAATAATACCAAAACAGAAGAATACTCGAACATCAATAAGTGATGATTGTTAAAAAACATAGTTTATATAAAATATTATAGAGTATTGTGCTTGCAGTGTTTCATGCTAAATATTTGTTTTATAACTGCAGTTGGCTGGTTGCTACTACAACAATGGCATCCACAGTAGGTTATGGTGTGAAATACTATCAGTTAAGACCGAGGACATGATGACAGCTGTTGCCTGCATTTTTGTTAAATACCAACCAGATTACGATTGGTGAATCCAGCAATTAGTTGTGAGAACTCAATTGTTTCCATGGACCATCCAAATTTGAAGAAATGGAAGGGTAGTGCAGTTTCTAAAAATATAGCAGCAGATGTTTGCTATACTAGTAGCCATTAGTCTAGTTCCTTACACATGGGGCCACTGACTAGAATATAAAGCTGTAGAATTTGTTGTATTTTATCCCGCAAAAAAAAAAGAATTTGTTGTTGTTGTTGTTGTTGTTGTTGTTGTTGTTGTTGTTTTTGTTTTGTTTTTTGTTTTTGCTTAAGAATGGTTATCAAATGAATGGAGGGCAAACCGTATGCCAGTGTACATATTCTTGCAGCTCTGTACTAATTCTAATAGAATCAGGCCGTTTGGAGGTTGAGTAGACTGCAGAGGTTGGCTAGTCTTGAGGGTTGGCTAGTCATATTCCAAAGGATTTAGTTGAATCGTTTTAAGTTTTAACCCCTGCAAATGGTGAAATGTATTTTACTCGCAGGTTAAAGCCTCCTTTGGTTCGGAGGAATTTTGCAGGAATTTCATAGGATATGATTTCTATGGGGAAAATTCCTTCAGAGCCCTTTGGTTTCCTATGAAGGAATTCTTCTATCCTTCACATTTCATAGAAAAAATAAACATTAGCCTAGACTCGATGAAAAAAAAAATCCTATGATGTGAACCAAAGAACATCTTTTTTCTTTTCGTATTCATAAGATTTGAGATGCATGTCATCTAATTTCCTATGATTTTTCTATTCCTATAATTTTTCTACCCATGAACCAATTGAGACCTAAAATGTAGTACTCCCTCGAATTCAACAAAGTTGTACTAAAGCTGCCAATTAATTTGGATCGGACTGTCCCAAATTATAAGACGTTTTTGGTAGGCTATCGAAATCGAGTGGATCAAGGCATTATCTTCTTTAGCTTTGTTCCTAGAATCAAGTCAGGCTGGGGCAAAGCCAGTTGGAAGCACAAAATGAGTGCTTGCCAGTCATAACCATTTTTGGATATTCAGGTTGAGTTCAATCTCGTCGATGGGTTCAATAAACGAGCCATAGTTCGTGGGAGGAGGATATGTTATTTCTGTTGGATTTGCTATGTCCCATCTAATTTCTAGTATATCATTTGATTAAAAAAAGGAAAAAAATGCATAGGTCTCGCATGAAATCAAATGATGTAGAGTTAAATGAGACTTAATTAATTCTTATCTAGATGAGAGCTGGTCACACCTTATTTTTATCTTGTGTTTAATCCAAAGGATAATTAATAAACTCCTTATTGAAGCCTGGCAGTGGCAGGAGACATATCAGTCCGGTGGCACGCCACACCCCGAGCCTCGAACCCACCTAACCCTAGAGAAGCCCTCGGCCTCAGGTCGCCGCTGCCGTCGGCGACTCCGAGGGAGCTCTCCTCTTCCCTTGCCGGTGAGAACGGAACACCTCTCTGCCAGCCGTTTCTCGTAAGCATCTCAGATCTTTTTCTTGCCCAAAGATCCCATTTCCCCCTCTCTGTAGACACGTCGCGTTTCCCCCTGCTGATCTATGCGCAACAGCATGCCAAACTGCTTAAATCTGCCATGCCAAACTCGTCCTACGGTGAGCTCTGGTGATAATCTGGTTCTTAGATAATCCCTATTGGTGTTGGTATTAAAACCAGTGGCGGATCTAGGATTTGAAGACAGGGTGGTCCTCCTAAGAAAATTTGACATCTATGACATGTGAATTTTCTAACTAATTATCAATAATCCCACATAGAAATCCCGTATCTTCGTATCTACATACCAGATCTACAAAAGCAGTGTCCGTGGTCCTCTTCATTCTTCAGTAATTTTGCAATAATAACTTTCCTTTATCAAACATAATGACATAATTGAACAGAAATGATGTGCAAAATTATTTGCACTATGTGTTTGTTGATTCGTGTTCTGGACAGTGGATAGCACAACAAAGAACAAACTCTAAATCAATTGGGGGTTCGGCAGTGGCGACCTCAAATCTGACGACCACCGGGAGTGCTGGAGACCTGAGATGTGGTCTGGGCGGCGGGCGGCGGCGGCTTGCTCCAAGCGCCGGGCGGCCAGGGCCAAGGCCGCAGCCCGCTGGGGGTCGCGGACGCGCGAAGGGTGAGGCTGGCTGCGAGGGCCAGGTGGATGGCGGAGAAGCAGGAGGGAAGAAGAGGCTCGTGGGCGTCCGGGCGAGCGGCGAGGCTGATAGGGTCGCGCGGAAGCGGCGAGGCGGGCGGGGACGGAGGCGGCTGGGCATCGTGGGCGGGAAGGCTCGATGTGGTGCAGACTTGAAGTGGTGGATGCATGCGTTGTTGCTTGTTGGGTCAAGTGTTATTGGGCTTTTCTTTTTCTCTCCGACGCATCTCTAACTGCATAGGTATAAAGGCCGGACCAAAATTCCAGGGTGGGCCGCCGCCCTGTAGCTCCGCCTCTGATTACAACAACAACAACAAAAACTCGTCATGGATTGGAAATTTGGATATCTACTATTCATTACTTGGCTAGAAAATGCTCGATGCCGAGCAAAATGTTTTACTCTGTCTATTAAATTGCTAGAGAATGTAGTGCCCTGTTGTGGTATGCAGAAAAGTTTTGGTAGGAACGCAATACACAGGGGAGGCTGGAAATTGCTCTGCTTCCCTAATTTGGTGATAAGATCGTAACCGTTATAAGAACTAACCAAACCTGCATTGCTTTCTGCGAACAACCCAGCTGAACAAGTAAAACCTTCATACTGATGCAGCATTGATAACATGGACACTTTTTGCGGCAATTGATATCTGCCCTGGGCCGTGCCTCATTACTTCATGTACTAATTGTGGAATATGTACACACATGGCAGGTTTTGAAGCCTTTAGGTAAGAAATCTGAGGTAGGGTTGCTATGGAGTCGTCAGCTGACGAGCATGCCATGGAGAGTGATACTGAGACTGAAAGTGATCTGATCAGCGAGCTGCCTGAAGACATCCTCCAGAAAATCCTGTCTTGCGTGTGGATTAGAACTGTTGTTCGCATGCGCAGGGTGTCTAGGAAGTGGATGGAACTGTGTGAAAGCCTGCAGTTCATACGCCTTGATTACAGAGATTTCGAACATTGGAAGGTCGAGAAGTTTACTCGTTTTGTTAACAACCTATTGCTTGTCCGTCGGAAAGTAGACTTGCAAACATTCCAGCTGCATTGGAATCCTCATGGTCCCCTGAACTGCAATGATGTCAGAATGTGGATTGGCTATGCGGTGAAGCATAATGTTAAAGTGCTTGACGTGAAACTTTGTCTATATGATAAGACTGTTTTACCTCCTGCCATTTTCACCTGCCGCTCGCTTCAGGAGCTAAATTTGCAGTGGGGTAATGCTCCCTACCGAGATTATGACCACACGGGACTTGTACTGCCTGACATAATCAATCTTCCTTCTCTCAAGAAACTTACTCTGCGCGACGTGGAAGTGGATGAGCTTTCTCTGAACAGATTCATTGCCTGGAGCCCTGGCCTAGAAGACTTGAATTTGATAGACTCTGCGATGCATCTTGATCTCATAGCCTCAAAAGCATTAAAAAGGCTAACCCTTGATGGCTTCCTAGATGAGTGCGATGGATTCACAATTGCTGCCCCTCATCTCATTAGCTTTGAGTGCACGGGATGTTCACTGGAAGCTATTTCCTGGAGAGACCAGCCATCTCTAGAGAGCGCACGCATAGATACTTGTGGGTATACATTTGATTGTGAATCAAAGTTCACTGGAGTTCTTAAGTATGCCAAGAAGCTTGCATTATTTGGTTCTGACATAAAGGTATGGCTTTTGAAAAGACAAGCCTGCGGTTCTATCTGTTGTTTTTTATCTTTATTTTTGCTAGAACACACATTCTTTTATTATTCTTGTTAAACTATATAAAAAATGAATTATAAAACTTCTTACATTATTCAACCGTTGCTGTTGTTTGTAGTCGTTAATGTAAAATTTATTACTACCATGTTTCCAGAACAAAATGGAAGTAAACAAAGTAGTTTTACTTAATAGTTGAAACACTTCTGCTGCAACAAAAAGGTAAAATCTAAGTGCTGGTGCTCAATGATTTGGGTGTACATTTTGTTATATTCTTGCTGCTAAAGTGGATCTGATCATTTTGAATGCAAAACCTAATATCCATGAGTTCATCATATTGCTCCATTAACTTTGAATTAGTACTAATATTTAGAGCATCTCTAGCAGATCCCGTAAAAACACCACCTGTAAAAACAGTTTACAGGTCCCCTTATAACGAATTTACGGTACCGCGGGGCATCGGGCGGAACAGATCCCATAAACCCGTACAATAAAAGTTTTTTTCTTTGTTTTCTCCTCACGCTTCTTCCCCGACGCACGCATGGACGGACTCGAACTCCGGCCGGCTGGAACGGCGCCGCTCCGGCCTGCCGCCTACTCCGGCGCCGCTCTGGCCTGCTGCCTGCTCCAGCGACTTTCCGTCGATGCTCCGTCCCGCCGCATGCTCTGGCGATGCTCCGGCCAGCCGCTGCCGAGCTCCTCCGCCTGCTCGCTGCTCGCACGCGGCGTTGCCAGGCCCCCTGCTCCAGTGTTGACCGGTTTTATGGGATCCTCAAAAACGGTTTGAATCCTCCAAATATGACAGATGGTTGCTCTAATATACGGGAACCTGTAAAAAAATATGGGGTATGCTATTTTACAGGATCTATTCGGTGTTTTTTTTTCAACCTGTACAGTAAATCTGAAGGTTTGACCGTTTTTACTGGATCTGCTAGGATGCTCTTATGTTGGTCTAAATTCTAACAAACAACTATTGGAGTTGGTTCAATATTTTTCTATACTGATCTGTTCCACAATTTGATTTTCTTACCTTTGTTATGTCCATCAAAATAGAGCACACTTTCAGTAGAAGTAAAAGTGGATCAGATATGATGGAAGCATTCAGAGTGTGAAACCTGGATATGAAATTTAA